GTCAAAATAGTCATGCCATAGGCACAAGAAACACAACCCTCCCCCCAAAGTAGGTCTGACTTGGTTTTCATAAAGCAAATAACATATCTGTGGGGCTGCCTATGACACGCAGACCCTTTTCAGAGAGCCAGGCAGCAACTCAGAAACTACCTGATCTCTATTCCTTCCACATCCTTGCAAATGCCAGTGTAAAAAGCTCGGCCGTGGCAATTCAGGAGCAGAGAAACCAAGGGGCCAAAGACACAGGCTTAATTCCATTAAGTGTTATACCTGCTCCTTGGAATAATGATCCAAGGGCTGACTATTTTCAAATTTTTCTGCCAAATATGTCCATCTGGATCTCCAAGGCAACGGAACTACCCTGAGAAATCGACTGTCATTAAAATAGTTTCCTCCCCAGAGGAGACCTGAGGGCACCAGGCTGGCCAGCTAAGAAGGTGGCTCCAATTTGGGGTGCCTGCCCAGCCAGACATCCAGGAAGAGAAGGCCAGATTCTGTCCTTCGGAGATACTTCACCAGAACGCCAGCGGAGCCCAAGCCACGGCGGGTGTGACCTGAAAATGTCCCGTGTGGCCCAAAGCAAGTGTCTCAGCCGAGCTGGGGTCGTTTGCGAAATCAGCTCTGCCAAAGTGACTTTCCCCATCAGAAGTCTTCCAGAAACGCCTAAGCACACCTGCTCTGGTAGGAGGTGGGGAGGATCTTAACTCACTACTCCTCGGCCTTCAGGTGAGAAAAGGGTGAATTCTACAGCCGCAAAGCGGGGCACACATTTCTGGTATCCCCAAACGGCCCGACCCGGTGCCCTTCACCCGCAGCTGCGCCCACAGAACTCACCACAGTTGCTTTCCCTGTCCTGGAAGTAACATTCCATCGGGTTCTCCACCCACAGTGGAGAGCACACACAGAGCTTTGTGACGGGGTCGCAGTGGCTGAGGCCGGAGGACTCCAGAAGGCAGTCTGCAAAGAGGGGTTGGTGGCTGAGGCTACCAGGGTGGGCAGGGGGTCCCGGCTCCCACCTCCTGTGGACTTTCACTAGCACAGGCCCTGCAGGGACGCATCTTGCTGACTTAAGAGCCTCTTATGGTACCGTGGGGGTGCCAGGGAGTCTCTCCCATCAGGAAGCAAACGAAAGGAAAGAAAAAGCCAATCTATACCAGGAAACAAAAGCCTTAAAAATGTAGCAGGGACGTAGTACCCTCTGGCCTAAGCAAGATAAATTCTAAGAATCCATCCAGTGAAGACAACTGAGATGTGCACAACAATTTACCTATGATTACAGCATTATTTAAAGTCAACCTTAAAGTCCGTGAGCACAGGACGGGTTGACCACATGCAGGATCAAGGACCACGCAGCCATAAATATCCTACTGAGGGAGAATCATAAAAAATCTGAGAAAATGGTCATTGTAGGGTTTGAGGTTTAAAAGCAGATTAAAAATATCTATCCAATTATCCTCATTGTGTCACAGGTTTCTGGAGATGGAAGAACTGGACGGAAATGTATCAGAATATTGACAAAGTTAAGGAGGGGATTTACCTGATTCTGTAAAATCTAATTTTTTTTTGTGCCTTTCTGGATATTCTAAATTTCCTACAACAGATAGATATTCCTTTCCTAGTTATTTAAACATTTTTTTTCAACGTTTTTTATTTATTTTTTTGGGACAGAGAGAGACAGAGCATGAACGGGGGAGGGGCAGAGAGGGAGTAGAATCGGAAATGCGCAAGGCTCCAGGCTCCAGCCATTCAAACCTGGCCTCGAGGGGCTCGAACTCACGGACCGCGAGATCGTGACCTGGCTGAAGTCGGACGCTTAACCGACTGCGCCACCCAGGCACCCCTCCTTTCGTAGTTAGAAAAAAGGGATTAAAAAAATTAAGTTAGTGCATGTCAGCACTGAGGACGTCAGCCACACACAGACACGTCTCTGACACAAGCTAAGTGTTACGACGTGACGTCATTATGTCCCTTGTAATGCTCACAGTCCTCGGCACCTGCTAGAGGATGGGTCACGTCCCACATCGTGAGGGAGTCATGTTCCTCCTAAGGTAAGAGAGAACGTGAGCAGAGAGCACGTTTGCACCCACACCCGTGATTCAGGCTGGTGCTGGGACGGGGCAGAAGCCAGGGACTGTGACAAGGAGGTACAATGGAAGGCACGTAGCGTGTGCCCCCACTTCCAGGGGCGTATGGGACACCATCATCACCCCACCCCGATGTCCAAGGTAAAAAACCATGTGAACACAGCTTTTCCGGCCCATAATGCTTCTCTGTCCTTAACACTGTTCTGACGGCTTAAGTACGACATTTCTGACAAAGACCATTGTCTAGAGTATAGTGTTAACGACTGACCCGTGAGCTCTTGCTCCTCAGAGACAGAGAGCAGTTGGCAGATGTGCTGGAGGAAACGCCCTGGAGAAATACGTGCAAAACAAGTCTCCGGACGCCCACGAGCAAATGCTCGCACGCCACGCTGCTTTCGCTGCCAGCAAAACTTAGCCACGCCTGGCCAGTGTCATTCTTTTAGAATACTCCCCAGAGGAATCATCCTGTAGGGATATTCTTGGAGGAATTAGGTTTAATATTTAATTTCTAATTAGGAAGATAAGTTTTGGACTTTGTTCCCACACAGCCCAAAGAGACTATGGGACCTCACCGCTGTCCTGTCACATCGGAAACAGACCTTGCTTCTCCTCCAAGAAATCTGTTGCTTTAACCTCAACGGGCAGTTGTTCATGTTTCTGGGAGATTCTCGCTGCATTTATCTGACCGCATGTCTCGCCCAGCACCGCACAGTTCTGAACGGACAAGTATTTGCATCATGGGGACTCTGGAAAATGCACCTGCTGTGTCAACCCTCAAGACGGTGAAAAGCAAGAAATCCTCCTTCTCCTCGGGGAGCTGTCTATGCAGACCCCGCACCACGTCGGCAGCTTCGAGAACCACGGACGGCGGCCCGGTCTGTACAGAAAACACAGTCGCGGTGCTGCCGAGGAGACAAGGAGAGAGGACAGCCACGCGGTCAGGCAGTGACCGACGGGACACGTCCACGCCGGCCATGTGACCTGTGAGAAGGGGCACTGTCACGGCTGCATCGTCTGGCAGGGGCGTGGGGGCACGTTTTGTGGGCTGAGGAATTGACCTGTTTGCATTTACAAATGAAGGCTCTTCAATGGCAGAGCCACGGGGTCACCTGATGACAGACCTTTACATAAGGAATGTGACAGGCATATGGGTGCAACAGACTCACCCATGCACAGGGTGACATCGTTATCTTTTCACGGAGGTAGAATTTACTTACCTTGAAAGTCACCTTCTAACGCGTATCACTCGTGGCTTCTGGTCTATCCCCTGCCACCATCTGACTCCAGAACACTGTCGTCACCTCAAGAAGAAAGGCTGCGCCCATTAAGAAGCCACTGTTGGGGCGCCTGGGTGGCTCCGTCGGTTGAGCTTTGGACTTCAGCTCAGGTCATGATCTCACACTCCGTGAGTTCGAGCCCTGCATCGGGCTCTGTGCTGACAGCTCGGAGCCTGGACCCTGCTTCAGATTCTGTGTCTCCCTCCCTCTCTGCCCTTCCCCTGCTTGGGCTCTGTCTCTTTCTCTCTTTCAAAAATAAACATTAAAAAAAAATCTAAGAAGTCATTCTTCATTCCCTCCTCTCTCCAGCCCCTGACAACCACTAATCTACTTTCTGTCTCTCTGGATTTGACTATTCATTCGCTATGAATGAAATACACGCGAGGCATTTTGTGTCTGGCTTCTTCCACTTTGCAGGATGTGTTCACGGTTTACCCAGGTTGTAGCATCGATCGGCACTTCTTTCCTACTGCCGAATGATAGCCTACCGTATGGACAAACCTCATTTAATTCACGCATCCATCAACTGCTGACGTTCAGGTCGCACCCGCTCTGGCTGTATGAATAATGCCACCGTCCGTGTTCACGTGCAAGTTTCTGCGTGGACATACATTTACCTCATCTCTTGGGCACACAGAAGCGGAATTGCCAGGTCATATGGTAACTACATCCAGCATTTTGAGGTACCGCTACACTGTCTTCCACGGTGGCTGCACCATTTTCTATTCCCATCAGCAATGCGGAGGGCTCCGCTCTTTCCACATAATCACCAACGCTTTGTTATGGCCGGTCTTTTGAATTACAGCTATCCTAGTGGGTGTGAAGTGATGTCTCAAAGGGGTGTTGACTGACATTTCCCGGTAAGTTCATGATGTTGAGCATCTTTTTACGTGCTTATCAGCCATTTGTATGTCTTCTTTGGAGAAATTTCTCTTCAAATCTGTATTGGTTTTCAAGGTTGCTGTAAAAAGTACCACAAACTGGGTGACTTACAACAGAAATCTATTCTCTTGCAGTTCTGGAGGCCAGAAGCTCAACATCAAGGTGTAGTCAGGGCCATCCTCTCTCTGAAGGTTCCAGGGGAGAGTATGTTCCAGGCCTTTCTCTCACTCCCGGTGCCGCTGGCAGTCAGCTTTCCGTGCTCATAGATGCATCAATCCAATCTCCGCCTCTGTTATCACATGCTGACCTTCCCGTGTGTCTGTCTCTGTCTCTCTTCTTATAAGGACTCAGTCACACTGGATTAAGGGCACCCTACAGCAATATGACATCTCAACTAATCCCATCTGCCACAACCCTATTTCCAAATACGGTCACACTCACAGGTCCCTAGAGGATAGGACATAAATGTGCCTTTTGAGGGGACCCAAAATCAACCTACAAGTTTTTATCATGAAAGCCTGTTGGATTTCGTCAACTGCTTTCTTCTGTGCCTGCTAAGATGATCATATGGTTTTTGTCCTTTATTAATACGGTTTATTACATTTGTTGATTGACCCACCCTGCATGCCTGGGATAAATCCTGCTTGGCCATGGTGTCTACTTCTTTTAATATATTGCTGGATGTAGTTTCAAAGCACTTTGTAGAGGATTTCTGCTTCTATATTCATAAGGGACAATGATCTGTAGTTTTCTTGTAGTATCTTCATCTGGTTTTGATATCAGAGTAAACACTGGTCTGATAGAATGAGTTGGAAAGTGTTCTCTCCTCTTCTACTTTCTGGAAGAGTTCGTGGACTGGTTTGTAGAATTCACCAGGGAAGCCATCACTCTGGGCTTTATAGGAAGTTATTGATTACTGATTTACTCTCTTCACTTGCTATAGGTCTATTAAAAATTCTAATTTCCTCTTGAGTCCTTCGTTATAGTCGTGTCTTTCTAGGATTTTGTCCATTTCATCCAGGTTAACTAATCTATTGACACACAGCTGTTCATGGTATCATCTTTTTTATTTCTACGTGATTGTAGGAATATCGCCTTTTATTCCTGATTTTAGTAGTCTGAGTCCTCTCTCTTTTTTCTTAACCAATCTAGCTAAAGGTTTATCCATTTTGTTGATCTTTCAGAGAAATAGTGTTTGGTTTTGTTGATTTCCAGATGTGTTTGGTTCAGTGGTTGATAGTTTGTAAGTAAGGGAAATCTGTGAGCTGTTTTGAAAGAATTCTATGATAAAAATAAAGTTTTTTTTTTAACTTGGTATTTTTCTAAGTAAACTTTAGTTATCTGGAAAACAAACCCAGAGTGACTGACAATAACTGGCAAATAGATTTACTGTGAATGGTAGGTTTTCATTCCCATATTCTCTCTCCTCCTTCCCTATTCTATTATTCATAGATTGGATGAAAGTTCAAAAATAAAAGCTCAATTAAATACATAAATCTTATAGGAGACAAAGGACCAAAGTTTAGCCTCCCGGGCTCCCAGAAGACAGAAAAGGTAATCGGTGGTCCTCTCGCACCGAGAGAAGCCTCAGTCCTGTGACTATGGGGCAGGACTGAAGTCTGGCCATGAGACATCCTCTGTGAGAGCCCAAGGCCATTTGCATGCCCTCTGAAGATAGCAGAGCTAACAACCAGTCCCTGCTGGTGTTTGCTACCTCCTTCATTCAGAATGTTCTTGGTCAACAAACATTCACTGAGACTTGTAGGAAGGACCTGCAGTGATGTCGTCCTCACTGCTGCCCTTGGAGGAAAAGAGCGTATGAACGTGATACAAGCGCATGCAAACAACAGAGAAGCAGCAAAGGAAATGAACGGCACGACGCCGGGCTGGTGCGCGGCTCGCACCTGAGACCCGAGTGGGCCTGGATCTTCTGGACCTGAACGTCCGCCGTCAGCTGCCTCACGAGCATGTCCTTCTGCTGCCCCGTCAGCTGCCCCACGCACACCTGCAGGACCAGCTTCACCAGGCCACTCTTCCTGGGGTCTGGGAAAGACAGCACACAGGGTCTCCGCCGGGAAGACGATCAAGGGAGCAAGGGCTGTACGAGAGCTTGAAGAGCTTAAAAGGATCCCTGGTGATTTCCTCACTTGCGTTTCAGGACCCAGACATATCTTTGCAAACAGGGCAGGGGTTGCTGTCTGAGAGCACGTCTTCCTTGTTGAGTTTTCTTCCGGGAAGACAATCAGAGTACTTACACAGCCTCTGGGGCTAACACCGCACGCCCTGCCCCAGGCCTGGATGGGGAACACTGCCCAGGGCACGAGGCAGGTCGGGCCTCGCGTCCCCTCACCGGGGCTGCCTCCCTCGGCGCTTCCCAGCACCGAGGCCCTGTGTCTGGCAGGAAAACAAAAGTGAAGTGAGATTTGCTGCCACATCCAAGCCCCCTCGGTGAGTCTGGAGGCTGAGACCGTTTGGGTCAATGAAGTGCAGAGACAGCCAGCAGGTGGCTCTGGCCGGGAGCTGAGGCCGCAGGGGCGTCCCGCCCTGGCTACCCGACAGAGGACCGCCCAGCTCAGTTAACCCAGGGGCAGAAGCCCGTGAGCACACCCGGTCGCACTTCCCTGGTGGCAGTGTCCGTGTCCGCGGTCCCCGGGCTGTCAGCCACTTGCAAGTGGAACGTGTAGACGCCCTCCACCAGATTGGTGAGCCGCACGGCTGCGGTGCGGTCAGAGGCACCAATGGCATCCTGCAAAATCACACGCTTCGTGAGCCCATGGTCAGTTCCCAATGACCGGTCTTCTGTCGGTCCCAGGAGGGATCACCCACGACCGCAAGATCATGCCCTGAGCTGATACATCAAGTCAGACGCTCAACCGACTGAGCCACCCAGGCGCCCAGGCATGTGCATGATGTGAAGGGGCAGGCTGGAGGGAAGAGGGGTGATGGGATAGCTGCAGATGGGGGTGGCCCTGCGCTCTCCCGCAGGAAAGACAGGGGACACGGAGAGCTCGCTCGGTGCTTCCTAAGCTGCACCTAACCAACGGCTGTCCAGTCACTACTAAATCATTCGTTTTGTGCAACAGAGGGAAAACCTGTTGAAATCAGGGGGAAGCACCCTGAGGAGTTTTCTGGGCCTTCTCTCCAAAGAGAGTTCTACAAGCATCTCCTCTTGGGCCTCCCCCCAGGATATCACATTCCCCTTCTCAAATGACCCAAGAGCCAGAGTAGATCATTTCTGCTCTGGAGGCTCGAGGCTCCAAAGAGCCAGAGAAGAATGCCAGCGCCCCCTGCTCTGCACTGGCTCACAGAAGAGGGCGGTAACCAAAGGGGACGAGAGCCGTTACAGGCAGAAGATCCACCGTCTGGCTGACGAGTGTCGGTTCCAGAGGGACTCATTCGGTTCCTCCCCTGCGACCACTTGTTTGGTACGTTTCCAAGAGCAAACCTGTGTCTCTCAAGTCCCAACAATGGCAGGAATGAAGATGTGCCTACATTTATACCCTAAGAGGTGGAGGAATCTGACAGGGAGAAACGTCAGCAAGGAGCTGAAAACTTGGGTCTGGTTTGGTTAAGGACGAGTTCGCTGACCTTGGCCAAGTCCTCTGCCATCTCTGTGTGAAACGGGGACAGCGCCCTTTGACCTGCTGACCTATCCAGCAGGAAGTGAGGAAAAGGGAAGAATCCACTTGGACCCAAATAAGAACAGCGGGGACGCTGAGGAGTAGAATGACTGCCACGGGAGGACTCGGCTTCGAAGCACCCCCAGGCGATGATGCCCTTCCCCGTCCAAAGTCTGCAGTCTGCTCAGGGAAAACTCAGAAAGGACAGCTTTCGTTTGAATCTGAAAGCAGCCCGCTGCCTCCAGCCCCCAGAGGAAACCTAGAAACATGAACAGCTTAGTGGGGAACACAGGAAGGGAGACGAGGTCATAACAGAAACGCCGCTACAGACTGAAGTGTGTTGCCTCCAAATGCCGATGCTGAAGCCCGAGCCCCCCAGTGTGACTGACCGTATTTGAAACGGGGCCCGCGAGGACATGGTTAAGGTTAAACGAGCTCCCGAGGGTGGGGCCCTGATTCCACGCGTTAAGGTCCTTATAAGAAGAGACACCACGACACAGCCCTCTCTCCCTCTCTGCCATGTGGGGACACGGGGAAAAGGCAGTCACCTGTGAGCCAAATGGAGAGCTCTCCCCACGTACCGAATCGCTCAGCACCTTAACCTTGGACTTGATGGGCTCCAGAACCGAGAGAAATGTCTGTCTCGTGTGGAAGCCACTTAATTCACCCATTCGTGGTATTTCCTTACAGCAGGCCAAGCGGACTAAATGCACGAAATGACACATGGGCCTGGGACAACCCGCTGAGCGCTCACCCCAGCTGGGCTCTGGCCGTCCCGGATCCACAGGTGGGACACAATCCCTTGAACCGTCCAAAGTAATGCAGTTATTGGGAAGCACAAGCACATGCCGGCCACCAGCCTGGGCTCTGGGAGGGCTATTATTTTCTAAGTCAAATACAACAAAAATGAAAGCAAAGAGATCGATTTAAAACACTGGTGGTAGAAACATGCCATAAAATACACAACTGTTCTACCTCGCAGCTGTGTAGATTTAAAATATCCAGGAGGCATTATTTTTCTTTTTT